GAGACACAAAGGCACACACCCGCCCACACTGCCACCCGCGCGCGCGCACCCGCTGCTGCATTTCTGTCCCCTTGGGCAGCGCTTGGCCCGACCAGCCCCGAAACTGCGGATCAGAAAGCCAAAAGCTGGCTGCAGCGCAAGCCTGGTCCTCCTGGCCGCCGGCGACCTCCGGAATGCCGGGCACCGGGTTTGCGCACACGCCCGGCGCGCGGGCCCAGACCCCGCGGGCTCTGACACGCGCAGGAGCGCCGCGCCGCCACCGCGGGGACGCCGGCCATAGCGCTAGCGGGCGGCGCGGGCGTGCGCGCCGACTGCTCCGGTCCCTCCCCGCCCCACCGCCAGACATGCGCAGAGCGCGTGAGGCCAGGGCCGGCGCTTTAAGGCGGGAGCTGCGGAACGCGCGCCAGCCCAGCCCGCGGTCCTATCCCGACTGGAGGTGTGCGCTCGCTGCCGGGTCGCTCTTTGTGCGCTTCTCGGGGTGGGGTGGGCAGCCGAGGGAGGGTGCGACAGGATCGGCGGGCAGCAGCGGGGAGCTGCGCCCCCTCCCGGATCTCCCAGGCACCGCCTCCGAGCGCCAGAGAAGAAAGGCGGCTTTGAGGGCCAGGGTGGGGCGCTGCCCGTCTCCGCGCATCCCTCTCTGCCGCCCACTGGGGAGGACGCTCCTTTGGCCCGCGCGCGCTCTGCTCCTTTGTTTGGGGAGCTGTCTGGCTCGCCGTGCCCCTAGCGCCCCAAGAAGCCGGGGACGCGGTTCACTGGGGCGGACAACGTCCGCGCAGCCGGTCCCCTGATCGGGACAATGAGGCCATGTGGCGGCAGCCGCGCTCGTTCCGGAGGCGCAAAAGTCCCCCCCTCCTCCCCGAGTGCGCCCTGCTTGCCTCCCGGGAAGAGTGCGCACGGGGCCTCGGTTTCTAAATCTGTAAAATGGAGGCGATGATACCTGCCCTGCCTCTCGTGGGCTGTTGAGAGAATGAAACGTGACAGCACAGGGGAGCCCACCTTGAAATCGTTTGCGGGTTCCGCAAACGCCTTCGCTTTTTGAGAACACCGAGATGACCCTTCCTCACCTGCTCACCTGGAGCTGTCTTGGGGAAGAGGTGCTGATTATATCCTTAGGGAAATGAGGCTTAGAAGCCACTTACAGTGGCTATTTCCTCAGGATGTTTACGCCAGCTTCCCTGAGCCTGGTGTGTTTTTCTTGAAAAGAGAATGTTTGATGAGGGGCAGGCAGGTGGGCGGGGGTGGGTGCGGGGTCCTCCGGAAAAGCCACCATCTAGAGCTCCCATGGGGAAGTCCTGGGATTTCTGACCAGGTTTATGGACTCAGGAGCCCTAGGCATTTGGGAATAAGGAGGGAGTGCCCTGAGGATTCCCGCGGAGATGGAGTGCTCGGAGGAAAGGGTCCTGACCGGGGCGAGCCACCCCAAGGCGTCGCCCGTGCCTTCATGCCTGGCCTGTGAACAAGGCGACAGGAAAAGGGCCCAGGCCTGAGCACTCCAGCTCGCCCACACAGGCTAGCTTCTGGCCCCCCTGCTCTGCTTGTAGGAAATTTATAGCCTCCAGATTGGGCCAACTGAGGTTTTCTTTTTTTAGTTTTTCTTACAAGGCACTCACTGCTGGAGACACAGAGGGAAGGGGGAAATGAGAAGTAGCTCCCCTGGTCCCAGGGAGGATGGCCACACCAGGCACCACAATTGCTAATCCAGTTTCCTCTTGGAATTTGGGGCACACATGTATATGAACCCGGTGTGATTTTCAAGCCCCCAGGATTCGAATTGCACAGTTGGTCATGTGGGACCCAACGCCTTAACCTTGCCACGTGCTGACCCTGAGGTTTTTGCCATAGAGCATGTGTGCTGGCCAGAGAGTGAGAAAGAGACAGTGAGACGGAAAGTGAGAAATCACCCTTGGGTGTGGATGGCCACACCACAGGCCCTACTCCATTGTCCTCCTGGGATTTTGGGCATATATGCACACGCGCCCAGGGTGAGTTTCAAACTGCGGGGTCCAGGACTGGAATAGCAGGTCTATGTGGGAATCCCACACTTTAACCACCATGCCACAAGATTTCTTTTCTATAAATAGCAAACACGATGAAACCGATGAAAACCTGTGACGGTAAACAGGTGTGGAGAGAGGTCCCCCGCCCCACTGGTTGCTCGTGACAGGACATGGGTGTGGCACAAATCCTTTCAGACTTGCCCTAAGTCCTTCCCCTCGATCTTAGTGATCAGATTGGATGGATTAGTTGTGGGATTTGTATAAACTTGAGAACTGGATGGTCCTGGGGAGTCCTGGCATCCTTGGGTCATTACCGGGGAGGCAAGTACAACATTTTGCTGAGGTGACGTGTTCAATGTCATTCTTCCCTGCTGATCACAAAGGGAGGACGTGTACTTGCCACTGGGCTGAAACTTGGCATGTTCAATGACATCACACATCTTAACCCACGTGAGGAAACGGACCATAAGGATCCACAAAAATGACCAGTCTTGAGGTGTCCGTGACATTCCGCAGAGCCCAGGTCACTCTTGTCAAACTGGACAGCTTCAGTGAAAGCTATGCAGAGATCGGCATGGAAGACACCCACAGGCCCCCGAGAGTAGGGGAGGGTGGTCTGATGTGGTTACTGTGGCTGACAGACCTAGCTCCCTGGGTCCACTGAGCCTCTGTGCCCACTGCAGAAAAAGGTTAGTATCCTGCATCCCCTCTTCTTCCCAAGGCTGAATGCCGCCAGACGGAGCATGACGGTGGAAGGGTCACTCACGGTAGATTCGAAGTACTCAGTGAATGTGGTTGGTGCCTTACCCATAGCCACTTCTGGCTTACTCACAGCCGATACTGACTGGCCAGGGTCGTTCCTGACACTTGAATGCTATTATAAAAGTAACAATCCAGGGACCAGCAGGTGGTGTGGTGGTTAAAGGGCTAGGCACTCTCACATGGCTGACCACGGTTCGAGTCCTGGAGCTGATGGCTTGCTTTTTCCCCCCACCCCCCCGCCATGTGTGTCTCTCTCTGGTCAAATTAAAATAAATGAATGAATAAATAAAATTAAATATCTAAAAAAAAAAAAAAGGAACAATCCATGGGCCAGCCCTGTAGCACAGTGGTTAAGAGAGCCAAATCCCACATGGTGAATGATGGTTCAAATGCTGGTCTGGTGGCTGGAGATACACGAGGCAAGGATGCGTAGTGTGCCCCCAATCTCAACAGGATGGAGAAATGGAGAAGAAATCCTAGTGTGACCATGCTCCATGGGGGATGGGGGTGCTTCCTCCCTCCCTCCCTTTCTGATTCTCATCCCTTTCTGACACATACCCTCTGGCAACTAAAATATTTAAACAATTGTTTTAATTATGCAAAAATAAAAAATAAGTTAGGATGGGGAACCAACAGGTGGCATGGTGGTTAAGGTGTTGCACATTCCCACATGGCAGACCATAGTGCGAGTCCTGAACCTGGTGGCTTGCTTTCTCACTTTCTCTCTCTGTGTGTGTGTGTGTGTGTGTGTGTGTGTGTGTGTCTGTGTCTCTCTCTGGTCAAGTTAAAAATAAATGAATACATAAAATTAAAAAAATAATAATAATTTAGGGACCAGCAGAGGGGTATAGCAGTTACATTGCTGGACTCCCACATGGCTGACTATGATTTGAGTCCTGGACACAGTGGCTTCGTGTGCATGCCCAAGATCCCAGGAGGAGAATGAAGGAGAGGGAAGGAGAAGGGATTGTGGCATGGCCATGCCCCCAGGGGGGGATTTCTTATTTTCCCTCTCACTGTGTCCGTCTCTCCGTTAAGTGCACATGCCCTAAGGCAAAAAACTCTAAATAAATAAATACATACCATTAAAAAATAACAGTCTAGAAGTTTTTTTTTTTTTTTTTTTTTTCCTTGGAGAGATTTTCACTGTAGGGCGCGTGCGCTCGCCAGACAGACAGAGAGAGACATAGAGACAGAAAGCGAGAAATCACCCCCCAGGGGGGATGGTCACGCCGCAATCCCTTCTCCTCCATTCTCCTCTCGGGATCTTGGGCACGCACGCACGCACGCACACGCGCCCGGCGTGAGTTTTAAGCCACCGGGTCCGGGACACGAACCGCGGTCGACTACGTGGGAGTCCAGCGACATAGCCATTATGCTAACTGCTGGTTCCCCAGTCTAGAAGTTTTAATTCTCTATTAATGGCCTTAATAAACCAAAACGGGCCCAGATGCAGTGGTGCACACTGCTAAGACTGCTCCGCAGGCAGTGGCCACACGGAAGGCCCGGGTTTGATTCCCAGTCCCGCCTTAAAGCTGGGCACTGCAATGAACACCCATAATCCCAGAAGCCTGGGAGTCTGAGGCAGAAGGTTCACAACAGGGCATGAGCCTTTTTTTTTTTTTAAATATAATAATAATAAGCCAAGCCATCAAACTTTGTGAAGTCCAGTTTGGGCTAATAGATAGAACACCCTAACCCCCATGGTATCTGGTTAGACTTTTCCCAGGCTCCTTTAGGACCCCAGAGCTTAAGTACTTTTCCTGATACAGGACACATTCCCTAAGGACTTCCTGATATGGCTGTATTATTTTTTTATTAGCACAGGAGAAAAACTTGCAGCATACGGTCTGGTAATATAATAGGACATTTCAGTTGTCACGAAATAGGAGAAGGTAAAGTTATCAAAAACAAGATGAACGGAGTTGGGGTAGGAAGCCTTGTATTTGTTCCCCAAGGCCTCCAACTATTTCATACACATTGTATCCTTTTGGAAACTAATTAGCAGGTGAGAGACACTAAAATCCTCATGTGAGAAGAAGCACCCTTTCCGTCAACTCATCTAACATTTAACTGAGCACCTACCTACGTTATTATAGGCACGGAGAAAGCACCGATGAGAACAGAAATGAACGAGGAAGCAGAGGGAGAGGTCCCTTTGAGTTGAACCCCGGTTACCTCCAAACCCAGTTACATGACAGGGGAACTGCCCAGACGGTCAGGAATCTGCCTCGGGTCCTGGAAAGACATCTGGGAGATGTGAGAATTAATTGAGGCGGGTGCCTAGCCCACGGCATGGCATCCAGTAGGAGCTCAATAACCGTTTATCAGATGAATGAGTGAGGGGTCAGACAGTGGCGTGGTGGTCGAATGCAATCCCACGTGGGAAGGTTCCTGGTTCAGTTCCAGATATGTCCTTGAGTACTTTTGTGCCTTTGAGGGCTTGCCAAGACCCTGTCGGGGGGTGGGGGGGAGGAAGGGGTTCCCCCTCTCTCTCTCTCTCTGTAAGAAATAAGTAA